TATAGGCAACCCCTAAATCCTGTTAAACAGAAAAAGTCAGTTTTAGGACAACAAATTCCATTGGCTCCACTATTCACATCACTCCTTCTTCGAGTGTTCGGGTTTTGCAATGGAAAAGTCCAATCGAACGTAGATAATAACCGCGATAAAGAGCGAAAACAAGGCAAGAAACAGTAGAATTGGCTCATGCAGTAGCATGTGCGTATTCCAATTGTAGCTGATCTCCACGTCTTGGATGTGCTGCTCCACTAGGTTCTGCTTGGACAGCCTGATTACAGTCCTGTAAAGCAAAATTTATTAATAACTAAACAGTGCCAGTCCGGCGGACTAAACCACGTGCCTTCCAATAGTATCCAGGTACTTGTAGGCGACTTTATCATCTAACCGCTTTACTTCATAGGGCGCCTTCACTTTAATATCCGTTACCCCGACTGGCAGCACAATGTCTGTTTCCAGGTCCTCAACTGCCATATCATCGAAAACATGATCAATCAGGCGCACTTTCAGCAAAAATTCGCCTGAAGGCTTCCGGAACAAGTAGCGGGAACTAGGAACGCTGTAACCTGCAAAAAAAACAACTTCTATAGACCAAACCACATAGACGTTGTGGGATCAATTACCCAAAGTGTACGAGCTGCGCCAACCTCCAAACAACGGAAATCTGGGCTTCAGCTCAACCTCAATGTAATCCTTGTGAGTCCTCACATTAGAGGTGGAAATGTTGCCGTTCATGTCCCTACAAACGCTCGAATTAACCGAAAAATCCAGCTACAAGCTATTGTCATGCTTACCGGTAGTAGATACTGTGCGCCAGCGCTGGTAGAACAGTAACGTAGCTTCTGATGCTGTGATGGTTGGCAACTGTGTCCCTTTGGTAGTCGTATCGGGAGAACGAGCCCTTTAACAGAGCCCCCGTGTGTTTGAGATCAATATTTTCTTCAATTGCAATGTTGCCCCAATGCGATACTTCAATAGTGCGCTGCAATCTGAGAAGCATCAGAAGAAATCAGCTCAGATCTGATCAATGACAGTGCTCGCCATTAGAGTTTAAAAAGACAATTATGGGATGTTTAATAGTGACCGAATCGGATGGAAAATTGAAGAATTTGAGGGGCTTAGAGGCTAGCACTTTTGCCTTTTTTTCTCCCTTCAGAATGGTAGTTTTTGTCTTTCAATCCAATTTTGAACGCTCAAAAACGTTTTACACGCGTACATATACAAGAGACTCAACATTCAGCAGACTTCTCCGGTTATTCTGCTTCTAAGTTTCAAATTGGCGCCCCATAGAGCATCGGCATGCTTAAAAATTGCCAATTTTTGTGGCGCTCAACTTTGGAGCGATTATTTAAGAAACTTTAGATTATCAGTGGTTGAAAAGGGAAAGAAAAAGGAGTTCAGCTGAAAATTTCCATTTTCTTCAATTCCCGGAACAATTAAATGCTTTGAAGAAATAGAAACTTTGGAGTTGGAAAAACCTCCTACTGGTCTGAAAGAAGAAGAAGCTAATAAGCATTTGGGCCTCTAAATGTGCAAATTTCGTTGCTTTTGGGCCTGGGGGCATCATCAAGTCCTCAGTAATTGTTAATAATTTACTGAAGACAGTCAAACATAGGTTTTTGCATATAAACAGTGCATTTTACCTGGAAACTGATAGGAATGGACCATTGTTTTCATAGTGAACGCTTAAAGAATCCCTTGCAAACTGCTCAATATCCGTATAAGGTCCATAGGTGATAGTGGAGTCTGTTTGACTAACAGGCTTCAGTTTCGAGTACTTTTCCACCACTCGAGAGTTTACCTGCAAGCAGCATTTCTACAACTGTTCTTGTTCGTAGCTTGAACTGCGCTTACCAGAACATCGGTTTTTTGCGTTTTCGTCACATAGGGCGAGTAGAAGTAGTAATTTCCCTCATATTTCACCAGCTGTTTCTCCTTCTGCGTGACGCACTTCGGGCAGAATTTCAAACTGTTGGTGAAAAACGATTCGAAGATTATCGTGGTGGTTTTGCCTGGTTCCAAACTTGGCCGCAGATGGACTTTGAATGCAATTCGCTCGGGACCTGCAAAGCACCATAATTAGCCCTACTGGGCAGCGGTTTATTGCCGTTAAACTACCTTGGAATCTCGCTCGGAACTGCTCGATTTTCAGGGGATTCTTCTGCGAGTCCTGTACAGTAATAGAGCTGAAGGAATCAGGATCTTCTATTGCAAGTAAATAAGAGGCAACGCTTCCTTCGCCGGTGTTCTCTATCGTGATAGTGCCGCCGATCTTTACAAGTTGCGAATTCAAATCGATAGTTCTCTGAACGTTCTTATTAATTAAACTGTCATCGATGTGTTCCAGGCCGTTTGCCATGGAAAACACCGCGAAAACCGCCACAAATTTCCACATATTTCAAAGGTTTTTATATTCTGCAAGCAAAAAACCTCTTGAATACAATAAAAGTGGACGTGTACAACGTCACCCACTCGTCAGCTTTATAGGTTAAGCCACAGGGTTAAGCAGCTGTCAGTGTTTTTGGGGTTTCTGATGTTGCCGGTTTGACTGAAAGGCCATAGGGCGTGGTGACGGAAGGCAAAAGCCTTTAGTTAAGAAGGATTTTGCCCAAGATAAAGTTGGAAGTTAAAAATTGGCTTCCTTATAGATAATCAATTGACTAGGAAAATGCCATTTTTGACCAGTTTTTACTTTACTTACTTACTTACTTACAATTTATTTGAATAAAACCAAATTTGGGTCCCACGCAAACCAAAGCTCTCTTTATCAAGACTAAACTGAACCCTTATTTCGCTATCTCCACTGGTTGCTCAGAATGCAGCTTCAGAAGAACATAGCGCAAAAAAAAATTAAAAACGCATCAGAACCTTCTACAGTTTGAAAATTAATTATTAAGCAACTATTTATTTGAATAAAACTACATTTGCATCACACGCAAATAAAAGCTCTCTTTATTCAAAGCGGAAACCCTTATTCCGCTATCTCAGCGGGTTGTACAGAAACCGGCTTCAGAAGAGCATGGCATAAAAAAAATTAAAAAATGCATTAAAACCATCCAAATTTTAAAAATTCATTAAGAAGAAACGTTCAAATGGAACCAAATTCTCGTCCTGTATTAAATAACAATTTAATAACCGAGTGCTAAAACTCTGACTCACATAACTGAACTCAGAACTCAGAAACCTGCTACAGAATAGCATCAGTGAATAAACAAAAAACCGCCCAACGCTTTTGATAGTTTGAAAATTCATTACGAAGGAACCGTATGTTCGAATGAAACCAAATTTACACCACATGCAAAGCAAATACCTTTTTATCCAGACCAGGAACCGATATTCTGCTATTTTCACTGGTTGCTCAGAAACCAGCTTCAGAAGAGCACGCCATAAAAAAAATACAAAACGCGTCAAAATCTTCCAGAGTTAAAAAATTAATTCTGGAGGAACCATTGATTTAGATAAAACGAAATTCGTACCACACGCAAGTAAAAGCTCTTTTTATCCAGAACTGGAAGCCTTATTCCGCTACCTCTACTGGTTGTTCAGTAACCGGCTTCAGAAGGGCATGGCGTAAAAATCGAAGAAAACCCATCAAAACCTTCCAGTTTAAAAATTTGTAAAGAAGGCACCATCCGTTCAAATGGAACGAAATTCTCGTCCTATATTAAATAACAATTTAATAACCGAGTGCTAAAACTCTGACTCACATAACTGAACTCAGAACTCAAAAATCTGCGACAGAATAGCATCGGTGAATAAGCAAAAAACCGCACAGCGCTTTTGATAGTTTGAAAATTCATTATGAAGGAACCGTATGTTCGAATGAAACCAAATTTACACCACATGCAAAGCAAATACTTTCTTATTCCGACCAGTAACCGCTATTCTGCTATCTTCACTGGTTGCTCAGAAACCGGCTTCAGAAGAGCATRCCGCAAAAAAAACATAAAAAACGTATTAAAACCTTTCAGAGTTTAAAAATGAATTATGAAGGAACGATTGATTGGAATAAAACCAACTTTGCGCCACACGCCAAGAAAAGCTCTCTTGACCCAGAACTGAACGCTTTATGCCGCTACCTCTACTGGTTGTTCAGCAACCGGCTTCAGAAGGGCATGGTGCAAAAAATTAAGAAATCGCATTAAAACCTTCCAGTTTAAAAATTTGTAAAGAAGACACCATATGTTCAAATGGAACGAAATTCTCGCCCTATATTAAATAACAATTTAGTTGCCGAATGTTGCTAAAACCCTGAGTCACATAACTCGACTCAGAAGAAATCCATTATGAAGAAACCATTTGTTCGAATGGAGCAAAATTCACACCACATGTATGGCGAAGCTCTTTTTATCGGGATCAGAAGCTTTGGTTTCAATATCACAACTTGTTGTTGAGCAACAAGCTTCAAAAGATCAAAAATGAAAAAAACGCATCAAAAGGAACGAAACTTTAAAAACACCATATGAAGGAAGCATTTGTCCGAATGGAACCAAATTCGCTCGACGAACCTTAGCTAAGGTTTCCTTTATCGAGAGCGGTAACCCATGTTCCGATGTCTCTATCGATTGTTCAGAAACCTTCTTCAGAAGAGCTTCGTGTCTAACCAAGAACTACCCAAAAGTAAAAAATTCGTTATGAAGGCACCTTTTGTTCGAATGGAACCAAACTCACACGATAAGTCAGACAAATCTCTCTGTATCGGAATCTGATACAGAATCTACAGAGTGTTTGAAATAAAAGTCAGGAAACAAACATTTTTTGTGGAGATTTTTTTTTATTAATCCATTCTACTTATTAAATACAAAAAATACGTAATATACCGGCGGGAAATTAATTTGTAGTTAATATATGCACCTAGAGCTACTGTTCCTGGTTATGCGCCTTAGTCGATAAATGAATTATTGTATAAAAAGCTAACAAATGTGTAAAAAAGAAAAGCGTATTCGTACTTAGAATATAGAGATATATACATGGAAATTCAGGGAATACCTTAATGTGCGCATTTTTGTTTTGTTTTCCCGCTGTTTGGTTGATGTAAAATTTCAAAAAGCCCCGAAATGTAAAAGAAGCATATTTGAGTAAAGCGTTGAAATGCATGCAAAATTACCGCGTGGAAAACGGGTAGAGAATTTCACAGATTTTCGTTTCATTCGGGTCCAATCGCACGGATTGACGTAGAAAAACGTTTACAAAAATATGCGTTATGCAGATGTAGGAAAATGAACGGCTTTAGAGCGTCCAGTTTAAGAAGCTGTTGCAAACAGTCCCATTTCTCCCTTAACAATTTCATATAGAAAACACCGAAGAATTAAACACACGTATCTATCACTGTACTGATTTTGTACTACGACGCTATTTAGCTGAAAATACTATTCTTAAAAGTAAAATATCACATGCTACTCATATAGGGAATTTTCGGGGAGGAATGAGTAACGACGGCTACTAAATCGCGCCTATTTATCTCCTATTACTCAAACCTCGCAAAATGTGTTAAGTATTGCTTCTAATATTTGCTGATTGCCTATCGTAGATTACATAAACTTAGCCTAAGTGTATTGAAAAGGTGTGATAATGTTTTTTGGACATTTGGTAAATATTTCGAGTAAACGAATCATCCGGAAACCAACACCCAGCGCTTTAGTCGGATATTCGACCTGCTCTAGTTGCTAATCCTATTCTAGTTCACCCTGTACATTGAAATCATATTAATACTGAAAGAAACACACCACGCCTACACATGCAAACATTTCCGATCGATCACAAAGTCCTTAAAGTTAAAAGAGTTAAATTGGATAATTAATACAATTCGAATGTCGCATCGGGATGCAATCCTGAGACCATTACGGGGGTTTGGTCTCCAATAAACTATTCAAACACCCCCCCTAATAATAAGAATAATAATAATAATTTATGAATATAATGCGCCTGGGAAACCTACAAATAATAAATTCGTTTATACTGGAGGAAGCAATTTTCGCTTAAATGAACCTGTTCGCAAAAACTCCGGCATTGTTAGGCCACATTTTAAGCGACTTCCTCGTGTCTTTGGCTTCAACCGTTCCTATTCAAAGCGGGATCACATAGAGTAGAACACTTATCACAAAGCAATATCACGTTGGCAAAATTAGCGGATTTCTTGGCAGTTTTGCCCAATTTAGTGACAACATTCGAAGGAGAGCCACTCAAAACATGGCCTAACTACGCAACTTACGGTGGACAAGCTAATTGGCTTCCGGCAACGGTTCCTCGACTGGATCTAAATTAAGCGATTCTGCTGCTGCATCAGTGCTGACTTCGTCACTTGAAGCAGCTCTCTCTTCTGGCGATGAAACCAAATCGGCAGATCCTCCAGTGCTTGTTCCCGGAAGTTGAACGCTTGTTCCCGTAAATTGAACGCTTGTGCCCGGAAGTTGAGTGCTTGTTCCCGGAAGATGAATGCTTGTTCCCGGAAGTTGAGTGCTTGTTCCCGGAAGTTGAGTGCTTGTTCCAGGAAGTTGAGTGCTTGTTCCCGGAAGTTGAGTGCTTGTTCCCGGAACTTGAGCGCTTGTTCCCGGAAGTTGAACGCTTGTTCCCGCAAGTTTAGGAGTTTCAGAAAATTGGTCAGCCAACATCTGTTGGGACCTTGTAAACGGCCTCTGCGTGCCCACACGCGTGTCATCATCTCTCCTAACGGGTACCTGGGATCTGGCCGGGCTGCTATTGGGCTGGTTTGGATTCTTCACACTTGTACCGAGCCTAAAGAAGGTTTATTATATATATAACATTACCAGTGTGGGTGTAGATCAACTACTCACATGCACGCCAACTCCTCCCCAGTATTGAGTCTGTAGAACTCTAAGAGACTGTGAACATCGTAGAAAGCCAGTATGTGGTCGAGGGTGGCAACGTAAATGCGATCTCTGCCCGATTGGCTCGATTGGTCGACGTAGGGAGCAGCTGAGATGTTCTTATGGTAAAACCGGCCCTCGAATATATAGGAGATGATCAGGGTATTATCCCGGGAGTTGCTGTTGCGAAGCAACCATGACCTGGAAGAGAGATCGATTGTTTCAGTTCCTAAACAGTTAAAGGCGAATTTGCTGTCTAAATGTGTGTAAGGAGCCGTTTGGAGCCTCAAAAAAGCTCCTGAAATTTTGAAGGTCTTTGATGTGTTCCACTCCTGATATCTCCGGAATGGCTGAAGATATCGCATCAGCTTAAATAACCATTTTGATCGAGAGGCTCAAGGGCTTTAGTTTACATATTGAGCTTTATCAGATATTCCTAACCTCTAAAGAGATAGAAGCCAAAATATCTATAAGTGGCCATGAGGGTCTCCGACCGTCAGTGCTTAATATATGGAAGATGATCGGGTAATTTTTCCGGGAATTGCTTTCGCGAAGCAACCATGACCTGGAAGAGTCATTGATTGTTTCACTTCTTTAACAGTTAGATACAAATTTTCTATCTACATGTCTGTAAGGAGCCGTTTAGAGCCCCTAAGAAACTCCTGAAGTTCGGGCAGTTTCTTCGGGCCTTTGCAGTTTTCCACTCCTGATATCTCCGGAATGGCTGAAGATATCGCATCAGCTTAAATAACCATTTTGATCGAGAGGCTCGAGGGCTTTAGTTTACATATTGAGCTCTATCAGATATTCCTAACCTCTAAAGAGATAGAAGCCAAAATATCTATAAGTGGTCATGAGGGTCTCCGACCGTCAGTGCTTAATATATGGGAGATGATCGGGTAATTTTTCCGGGAGTTGCGATCGCGAAGCAACCACGAACTGGAAGAGTCATTGATTGTTTCACTTCCTTGACAGTTAAATGCGAATTTGCTGTCTACATGTCTGTAAGGAGCCGTTTAGAGCCTCAAAGAAGCTCCTGACATTTGGGCAGTTTCTTCGGGCCTTTGCAGTTTTCCACTCCTGATATCTCCGGAATGGCTGAAGATATCCCATCAGCTTAAATAACCATTTTGATGGAGAGGCTCAAGGGCTTTAGTTTACATATTGAGCTCTATCAGATATTCCTAACCTCTAAAGAGATAGAAGCCAAAATATCTATAAGTGGCCATGAGGGTCTCCGACCGTCAGTGCTTAATATATGAGGGATGATCGGGTAACTTTTCCGGGAGTTGCGATCGCCAAGCAAACACGAACTGGAAAAGTCATTGATTGTTTCACTTCCTTGACAGTTAAATGCGAATTTGCTGTCAACATGTCTGTAAGGAGCCGTTTAGAGCCCCAAAGAAGCTCGTGACATTTGGGCAGTTTCTTCGGGCCTTTGCAGTTTTCCACTCCTGATATCTCCGGAATGGCTGAAGATATCGCATCAGCTTGAATAACCATTTTAATCGAGAGGCTCAAGGGCTTTAGTTTACATATTGAGCTCTATCAGATATTCCTAACCTCTAAAGAGATAGAAGCCAAAATATCTATAAGTAGTCATGAGGGTCTCCGACCGTCAGTGCTTAATATATGGGGGATGATCGGGTAACTTTTCCGGGAGTTGCGATCGCGAAGCAACTATGACCGGCAAGAGTCATTGATTGTTTCACTTCCTTAACAGTTAAATGCGAATTTGCTGTCTACATGTGCGTAAGGAGCCGTTTAGAGCCTCAAACAATCTCCTGAAATTTGGGCAGTTTCTTCGGGCCTTTGCAGTTTAACACTCCTGATATCTCCGAAATGGCTGAAGATATCGCATTAGCTTGAATAACCATTTTAATCGAGAGGCTCAAGGGCTTTTGTTTACATATTGGGTTTTATCAAATATTCCTGACCTCTAAGGAGATAAAAGTCAAAATATCAACAAAAAGTCCCTGACTCTCAGGGCATAAACTATTATCATTTTCCTAAAGTACATATGCCCAAACCATTCCTCAGTTTTTTGATAGGCCGTTTCGAGAACTGTTTCTAGGTGGTACTGAAAATTCCTAACCAGCAAAACGATAGAAGCCAAAATAAAAAATTAATTAGAGGCTCTCACCGCTTAAAACACCCTGCATCTCAGAAACAGTTGCAAATATCCAGATAGCCGTTAGTAATTTTTCACAACAGGTCTGAAAATTCATCAGAGTTTCCTAACCTCTAAACAGATCATCATCAAAAATATTTAAATTTTGAGAGCAGGGAGCCTTCAAACACTCTCTAAGTGTCTGAAACTGGAAAGTCCTTCCGGAAAATCTGCTACTYATTCTAACCTCTAAAGGTCGAAAAGCCAAAATACCASGACTCCCATGCACAGAACCATTCAATGAGCAGTTGGCAACTTCTCAATGGAAAGTCTRCAGACCAGTTTTTGAGCAGTATTTCAAACTCCTAACTAGCAAAGCGTTAGAGGCCAAACTTAAGACAATGTGGGGCTTTTAACGGTTAAAACACCYTAAAATCAGAAACGGTTGCAAATATCCGATCAGTCATAAGGACTTTTTTGCTAGCGCTTTGGGAAGTTTTGTCAGAATTTTCGAAYCCCTAAAGAGCTAGAAGCTCAAAGAAGCAAACGGTAAACTTTAAGACACTGTCAAGCGATAGAAAATAGGAGAAGAGGGGAAAAAGAACCATTTCCAGAKAACGTTTCGTGAGTTATTTTTCAYCTACASYGTTCAGACCCAATTATTTAACGTCAAAACCCAAACTTTGATGAATTCTTGCCAATTTCCAAGTTCAAAGTGTTAGAATTATTATTTGGACCGTTTCGGTTGAACGTCCCAATAACAGTAGGTATAGTTATATAATATAAGTTAATATAGTAGCTGGTCGGTTTTAGCAACAATTCCTAACCTCTAAAAAGATAGAAGCGGAAACGTCGGCATTTTGGG